CGGGGGGGGGTTTTCTCGCTTTCTGTCTCTCTTTCTTAAAAAAAAAAAAAAAAAAAAAGGAGGTAAGCCCACACTCCACAGGTTAGTGAATGCTGGTGGCACATGGGTCCCTGTTTTCAGTAGATTCCACAGTCCAGCTGTACCAGTATTCTTTCAACCCTTCATTTAGTTCTTATTTTAAATTTCATTATCAAGATTTTATTTTTAAAATATTATGAAATATTGTAGTGGCATTTTCTTTTCTCATTTCTTTGTGACCTTTCCTCTGTCCTTCCAGAATCATCTTTTGCCTTGTTCAAACTGGAATGATGACATGAGAAGAGAAAGAATTTAGCTCCTGAAGCTACTTTCAGAGTGAAGTAATATGAATGGCAAAGCTTTTCTTTTCTTTTCTTTTCTTTTTATTTTAGAAAGCTTTTATTCTGGTAAAAATGTCTTAGAAACCAGAAGACAAAGACCTAAGAGGTCAAGACTCGCCCCCCCCCGCCCCCCCAAAAAATTAAAACTTCTTCTTAAAAATTGATTTAAGATAGAACAAGGATATGGTTACCTAACATATCTGTGCCTCAGGAAAGCCCCCAAATCAGGGTAATAATAAGAATTAGTACATATTATTTTTTCATTAGGATTAAATGAGATAAAATATTTAAAAATTTTACAGCAGTGCCTTCCACGTAATAAAACAGTCATTAGATATCTACTCTTAGTGCTGTTGCTGTTACTGCGATTACTGCCTTCTGAAGGAAGGGAGATTCCCTGTGGAGAAGGCAGCAAGATGGCGAGGGTGTGAGCAGGGAGACAGTGAGGCCTTCAGGGGCAGGAAGGCCCCCATCATAGCACAGATTCAATGCTGAGAGACTGACCAGTCTTATTCCAGAGAATCTGACACTGGAGGTAGGGCCTGAGCACTTCATGGAAACTGAACTCAAAGGATTCTCTCCCTCCCTCTTGCTTTCTTTTTACCTTAATATTTAGATTCTACTTTCCACTATGTTGGCTTCATTCACAGGCAGGTGTCTTAGTTTGGCAAAAAGATGGCCACCGAAAACCTTTGTCTGACTTGATGATCGGTCAGTATTTCGGAGAAACTGGATAACACTTTCATTATAGTTTTAGAAATAGTCCTGTGAAAAACTTATTTCATAACTAATAAAAAGCTATACTGAATGCCATGGGAGGATTTTACTAGGGATCCATGTTAAAGTCCTAGAGTCAGTTGATTTTATGAGTAGTGACATAATGAATGGAGAGGCCATTTAAATTTATTATTTTATTTGATTCTCCCATTATCCCTATGATGTACAGATGTATCATTTTTACTTACAGATGAAGAAACTAGGGTACAAAGAAGGTGAATAACTTGCTCAAACACCATTACCATGTAATTAGAAAAAATATTATTTAAAATCAGATACACTGGATTCTGCAGCCTGCATTTTCTTCTAAACTCTTGTTTCAGTAATCAATTAATGAGAAAAATGCAAATCGTGTTTTTATGATAAGAAATATATTTTTTTATTTTCTTTTTTCCTCTTATAAATTATACTCATGTTTCATCTGATTTTTTAAATTTATTTTTATTATTTTTTTGAGAGTTTTTGCTATAGAGTGTGTGTGCTCACCAGAAAGACAGAGAGAGACAGAAAGCTAGAAATCATCCCCCCGGAAGTGGAGTGGGGGTGGATGGCCATGCTGCAATCCCTTCTCCTCCATTCTCCTCTCAGGATTTTGGGCACATAGTCACACACATACATCTGACATGAGTTTCAAGCCACTGGGTCAGGGACTATGTGGGACTCCAGAGACATAACCATTATGCCATCTGCTGGTCTCTATTTTTAAAGAATTTTAAATTAAATTAAATTAAATTTTTTATTATTATTAAATTTGATCCAAGACAGAGAGAGAGAGAGAGAGAGAGAGAAAGTGAGAAAGCAAACTGCCAGATCTGGGTCAGCCATGTGAAAGTCCAGTGCCTTAACTACTGCACCACCTGTTGACCCCATCATCTGAATTTTTTTTTTTTTTTTGGAGGGAGGTTTTTGCCATAGGGTGCATGTGCTCACCAGACAAATAAAGAGAGACAGAAGGCGAGAAATCACCCCCCCAGGGGGGATGGCCATGCCGCAATTCCTCCATTCTCCTCTCGGGATCTTGGGCACGCATGCACATGCACCTGGCGTGAGTTTTAAGCCACCGGGTCCAGGACATGAACAGCAGTCGACTACGTGGGAGTCCAGTGACATAGCCATCATGCTAACTGCTGGTCCCCCAACATCATCTGAATTTTCATAGTTGTAATTACTTCATGGGAGGACAGAAATGATGATAAATTAATTAAATACAATGGTATTAGTGGTGGACTGATATTTCCCCCGCATTCTGGCCAGTATTACATTGCGTAAATAGGAGAAACTCAACAAAAGCCTGCAGGGTACCGTTCATCTGCAAAGTAAACCAGAAACCAGCAGAAGTGGAAATGCAGTTTTGACTGAGTGCTATAAAATGACTAATGGAATGCTTTAAAATTGTCAAAAATAAAATATTTTAATCATAAAAAAATGTATTCGCATTGCCTTTTGTAAAAAAATATGGGAGTATTTTATCTATACTAAGTTCTTCCTAAAATTACTTTTATAACTTTGTTCAATAATATACTTCTAAAACTGACAAGATGCTTTAGTTTATGGGAGGAAATAAGTTGTGAAAATATAGGCTTCTGATGAAAGAAACACAAGGATTCTCATTTTTACTGCTTTATCTTGTTGGAATCTGATCTAAACCTTTTTGGCATGCATAGCTCAAAGTCATAGGCCCCCGATGGCTCAGAACTTTTTGTTGCAAGTGGGAAAAAGCCCTGCTCAAACTTAGCTTGCCTGACTAGACAAAGTCTGAGGGCAGCCAACTTGATTTAGGCCTCAAATGATGACAGCAGACCTTAGTTGTTCTCTCAATTTCAGGCTACATGTGGTAGTAAGAGAGCAGAAGCTGTCATAGTTCCTACAGTTGTTTGGCTTCCAGGGCCTTATCTACTTCTCTAACAAGCAAAACATTTCCTGAGTTTCATCTTCAAGGTTTTGGTTGAATTGACTTGGATTATATGCCATCCCAGAAGCAGTCATTGCTCCATTTATAAAACCAGCATGGGACCGGCAGATGGTATAGAAGTTACGTTGTTGGACTCTCACATAGCCTACCATGGTTATGGAGTCCCAGATCTGGTGGCTTGAAAATTATGCTAGGTGTGTGTGCATGCCCAAGATCCTGGGAGGAGAATGGAGGAGAAGGGATGCGGTGTGGCCATCCTTCCTCGGTGGTGATTTCTAACTTTCCTTCTCACTGTCTCTGTCTCTGTCTCTCTGGCAAAGCATACATGCCCTAAGGCAAAAACCTCTCAAACAAACAAACAAACAAAACCCAGTGTTAGCTACAGCAGAAAGATGGTTGATCAAAAGTGATGATGATGATGACGATGGGACTTTCACAAAGGAAACTTTGTAAGATCACCAGAAGGAGTATAAAAAGTATATTGGATGGGGGAACCAGCAGTTAGCGTAATGGCTATGTCGCTGGACTCCCTGTAGTCGACCGTGGTTCGCGTCCTGGACCTGGAGACTTAAAACTCACACCAGGCGCGTGTGCATGCGTGCCCAAGATCCCGAGAGGAGAATGGAGGAGAAGGGATTGTGGCATGGCCATCCCCCTTGGGGGGGGATATCTTGCTGTCTCTATGTCTCTGTCTGTCTGGTGAGCGTACGCGCCCTATAGGAAAAACCTCTCCAAGAAAAAAAGAAAACGTATATTGGATGGTGGGAATATTATCTGTCCACCACAGGCACTGTGAAAATACCAGTAGACCAACTAATTATGGAGTTTTGTAATACATATAGTCTTGGGGATTGCTGTGGAAAACTAGCTATAAGGCCTGATGGGATGTGCTGATGGTCTATAATTTTCTTGGGGTTAACTGGCCATAGATGGAATCACCCTGGCCCATAGAGTCTTCTTGTGCCCCTTGGTAAGTCTCTGTGGAATTTCTATACAGAAGTAATTATATATGGATTTAGATAATACTGGGCAGGTACACATTTAGAGAAAACAAGTAGGTCTATGAGGAAACATGAATGGGAAAAGATATTCACTGTGGACTCCACCTGGGAGTATAGGGGCAGGTGCAAAGATCTTTGTTTTCAAAGACCCGAAACCTCAGTGGTAAAGGATAAACATCTCTGTCAGCAGGGGACCACAAATCATTTACTTTTGCCTTGAGGTTTCTACTCCATTTACCAACAACATTGGTAGGTTTTACTGGATTAAAAAAAAACAGCAGTGCTTACCGTTTCATTTTTTGTGTGTGTAAGAGAGAGAAGGAGAGAGATGGGGAGAGAGAGTATATACATTAATGGTCTTCACAAAGTTCATGGAAAATGCACATAAAGACAACTATGCATTGATTTCAAAGATTTTTGGTGTCAAAATAAACTCATTCTTTAACTCCATTTTCCCATGAACATTCCACAAAGTAAGATGTTTCATTCACTGAGTATTTCTGGGATGAGCTATTTTATATACCCATATATATGAGGGGACTTAAAAAAGTGTACACACACACACACACACACAAAATAACTTCCTGGAAATGGTCAAGAAGTTCTCTAATTCAGTAATATACTATATGCATTAGTGCCAACCAATGAATTGCTTACTATTTAGGAAACATTAGTAATGAAAAGTAGGCAGTGTGTGTCACTTCTATTTTACAGTGGAAAAAACTAAAACATCATTAAACCACTCAATTAAGAGCCTTGAGTGGCTTAATGATGCTTTAGTTCAATCCTAGCACAATATATTGAGGCAGGTTATCAGCTATCATGTTAAGTAAACATGAGTCACCAAATCTGAAGTTTAAAATAGAAGTGAGAATAAAATAACAAACCCAACTGGTAGGTGTTTTCCAAATGAACTGTAAGGCGAGGCGAGCCATCGTCGTGTTGGCTAGGTTCATCCATATAAGACACAGTACTCAGAGAGCTAAAACCAAAAGAGAAGAAAAATTTTTATCATTACTACAACAATGAATATAAACACCCCACAATATTGCTTAAGCTAAAATGTTACAAAGATAAACTTTTCTCTAAGAAAATTTCAAGAAAGTGTATGTAAATATCCCAGTGACCTATTTAAAGTGGAACATTTAGAGATGGAAATATTAAGATGCAGAGAAGTTCCTTGGAACAGATATCCATGGAGTGGTTGAAACTTAGGGTAGTGACCCAGGCCACCTGACTATGTAGAAAGTGTTCCTGGGCTGATTTATGTCTACCGAGGAATAGGTGTATGTTTCAAATGTCATTGTCAACTGCGTCTCTAACACAGATGCAAAGGCTTTTCTCGAGGTCAGCAAAGCTCACACATAGGTCTGAGGAAAACATAAGGAAGCTTAAAGTGTTGGATAAAAGCTCTTTCTGTATGTGGGGTATTATGAAGTGCTCCCTATTATATGTACCTCATCAAATCCCTTTAGTATGAGAAAGAACAATGAGAAATTTATCTGCATGGTGAAAGAAACCGCAATTCATCCAAACTACCATTAATCAATGAGCAACAATCACCCTTTCAAGAGTAAGAAAGGATTTCGGCTTGGTTACCAAGGCAATATGAGCTTATCCAGGTGCTGAACAGGAGGCCCAGGCAAAGAGAAGCCCCCTTAAGGCCCAACTTAATTCAGTTTGGCTCAGAGAAAATTCAACTGTATCTAATAGTGGTCTCAGAATGCTCTACCCACAATTTTCTCCACCTGTAAAAGTCGAAGGTAGGACAGATGTCATTTTGTTTTGTTTTGTTTTAATTTTGCTGTAGGGCTTGTGCACTTGAGAGAGAGAGAGAGAGAGAGAGAAGAGAGAAAGAAAGTGAGAAATAACTCCCCAAAGGGGATGGCCATACCACAATCCCCTCTCCTCCATTTCTCCTCTTGGGATTTTGGTCACGCATATTCAGACACCTGGTGTGATTTTTTCAAACTGCTGGGTCTGAGACTAGAACCATATAGTCAGTCATGTGGCATCCGCTGTCTTAAGCGCCACACCACCTACTGGCCTAAGACTGATGCCATTTTAAAGGTGATATACTGTGTGTTGTGTGTGTGTGTGTGTGTGTGTGTGTGTGTGCGCACGTGCGTGTTCAAGGTAATCACTTCTCTAAGCAGGCCATGTGTTTGCTATAATTAAATGATAAAGAGATATTTATTCTTAATCCTTTGAGGTTTTTTTCCCCTCTGCAAGAAGTTTAGGATACTTAGTTCTGTTCAGAATTAGTCAACTTCTTGCACATTGATAGTTGAAGAAATTCACAATAGTCTACTTTTTAAAAGCTTTAGTAAAAATTACATTATAAATTAGGGTTTCCCCACCCAGACCAAGAAAGTGATGCAAGAAATTCTGCCTGCATTTTTTCATAATGGATTTCTGGATTAGTGATTTCGTCTTCATTCTTTTAACACCTGTTTTCCCTCAGCTTTCTGTTGCCCTTTGAAGTAGCAACCAACCTGTTTGGCCACACTCTTTGCAGGTGTTAGGGGAAGTACCACAGATGATAGCTTCTGCTTTAAAAAATCCGATGTTGCATAAACCCCTGGATTCTAAGATAAGCTAGTCAGCCACAAATATTATGCGTGCTGTTTTTAACTTTGCAAAACATTCCCATGAATTATCTCATTTTACCTTCCCAAATATCCTTTGAAGTATGTAAAGGAGTCATTATTCTACCTGCTTCAGAGACAGGGAATGAGGCAAAGGGCTTAACATTATACACATAAACTGGACTGACTTAGATTTCAAATAGCCTATTTACCTCCTAGTGACAGTCTCATGTATGATTGTATCTGATGGGATGAATACAGGGGAGTGATTACTTGAAATAACTACTGCAATTAAAACTTAGTTGCACAAACATACAGATAATATTGACAGAAGCCTTATTTCTTTCATACTGAACATCATATTAGCTGTTAGCATATTAGCATACGTAACTCAAATGAGCAGGATTTAGAAGTCTAAGACAAAAAGAGCAGGAAGAAATTTTATAAACAGTCTTCGTTATTGCTTTGTTCAGTGTTACTGGATATTGATAATCTTTATAATATTATTGCTCTGAAGCTGGCTACATAAGGGCAGCTTAAAAACACCATTATGGCGGCCAGCAGGTGGCATGGTAGTTAAGGGCACTGGACTCCCATATGGCTGCGGTTCGAGTCCCAGATCTGGCTACTTACTTTCTCACTTTCCCTCTCTCTCTCTCTCTTTTTCATTCTGTCCTTCTCTGGTCAGATTAAAATAAATAAGTAAATAAATAGAATTAAATAAAATAATTCTTTTAAAACAATCTGCAACTTAAAAAACAAACAAACCAACAAAAACAACCACTGGCTGAGGACCAGCAGATGGAGCAAATGGTTACATTGCTGAAGTTCTATGTGGTAGAATGTGGTCCAAGTACTAGACTGGGTGGCTTAAAACTCACACCAGGTGCATGTGCATGTGTTCCCAAAATCAAGAGAGGAGAATGGAGGAGAAGGTACTGTAGCATGGCCATCCCTCTTGGGCAGTGATTTCTTGCTTTCTATCTTTTTGTCTCTGCAGTGAGCACACATACCCTATAGCAAAAAAATCTCTTAAAACACACACACACACACACACAGACACTAGTTGAAGATTGGTATGCAGTTTTACAGACCGACTTTTCTTGTCGTTGTTATTGAAGATGATTTAGTTCAGTGGCATTTTATTTCCACAGCAATCATGTACATGGTATATGCTTACTATAAAAATTTCAACAAATACAGAAATATATAAAGAAGGAATAAAAATTGCACACACAAAAAACATCACCAACCTCAGTGGTAATATAACCTTTGTTAACATTAAAACAAAAACAAAAACAAAAACAAAAACAAAAAAAACAAAGCTAAAAATAACCTTTTCAGGGGTTAGAAGGTGGCATGGCAGTAATGTATTGATCTGTGAGGCTGACCCACAGGGGAAGGTTCTGGGTTTGCATGCAAAGACCTCCCTGAACATGCTGGCACACGTATGCATCTGACCTATGACTGGCTGAAGCTGGGCGTGGATTGAGGTGTAAAGACACAGATAGGGGTTCTTTCTCTCCGTCTGTCTTTGTCTTTCTTGCTCATGGAATAAAGAATGAAACTTAAAAAAGTTTCTTTCCCGACATAATTTTCAAATGGGATCATGTTGCTGTTGCTGTTATTTTCCCTCCCATAAAAATATATCCTGGAGGGAACCAGCAGTTAGCGTAATGGCTATGTCGCTGGACTCCCACGTAGTCGTATATATATATAGATATAGATATATATATCTATATATACATATAGATATATATATCTATATGTATATATAGATATATATATCTATATCTATATATATATATATCCTGGATAACTTTCTACGTCAATAAATCGTAATTAGCGTGTTAAATATCCATGCAGTGTTTAATATATGAACACTGTGCTGTTCATGTAACCACATATTTTCTAGGCCAGTTAGTCTGTTTCCAATATTTCACTATTATAGAGAAAAACGTTGCAAACATTGTGGCAGGAATTGACTTTTTTTTCCCACCCTAATATTAAGCTTTCCTCTGCTTGGTAAGACAGCCCTAAATTTGTGGAGATACTTGTGTCCAGAATAAAGGTGACTGACTCCTCAGTCTCTTTGAGGGCTATTTTACTATGTGGCTTATGAGCCAATAAGATTTAAATGGAACTGTTGGGTAGGAATTCTGAGAGCTTCCTCAAAGGAACTAATTCAACCCCTGAGAGTCTGCGTTCACATTCTTTGGAAAATGGAATGTGGATGTCATGGTAAGAGTTCAGCAGATAACCTGGATCTTGAGATGACTGTGTGGTAATAGATCAGAAAGATAAAAACTGAGGTCCCAGAACTGCCTTTGTCCAGTAAGAGAAAAATAAGCTTCTATTTTGTTTAAGCACCTGTTCTGAGAATATAATTCTGGGGCAGGCAGGTGGTGTGATGGTTAAGGGCACTGGATTCCCATTCGACTGTAGTTCGGGTCCCAGACCTGGCGGCTTACTTTCTCATTTTCTCTCTCTCTCTCCCACTCTGTCTCTCTCTGGTCAAATTAAAATAAATAAATAAATAAAGTTAAATAAAATAATTATTTCAAAAAATATTATTTCAACAGCATTAGATATAACTGATAAGATTTTAGCTGATAGAGAGTTTGCTACTTGGAAGTGGGATGCTATGAATAGCGGGGCATGAAACATTCATTGTTTGGTGGAGGAGATGGAGCTTTCAAGTACAGAATTTCAGCTCTTTTCTTGGGAATTTGGCAACTTGTATCATGCAGAGAGAAAATATTTGGTTATATTTGCTTTCTGTTTTTTTTTTTTTTTTGAGAGATTTTCATTGTAGGGCGCGTGCGCTCGCCAGACAGAGAGAGACATAGAGACAGAAAGCGAGAAATCACCCCCCAGGGGGGATGGTCACGCCACAATCCCTTCTCCTCCATTCTCCTCTTGGGATCTTGGGCATGCACGCACACGCGCCCGGCGTGAGTTTTAAGCCACCGGGTCCAGGACACAAACCGCGGTCGACTATGTGGGAGTCCAGCGACATAGCCATTATGATAACTGCTGGTTCCCTATATTTGCTTTCTGTACCCTGACCATGTAGTAACCAAGAGTATAACTTCATGGAAAATGTAGACAAGTTTTAATTTTTAAAAATCATGTATTTTGTGGGTCAGCCAGTGGTATGATGGTTCAGGAAGTTGAATCTCAGACCCACAGCTTGAGAAACATGCCAGGCATGTGTGAGTGCGTTGACTAAAATCCAAAATAAAAGCAATGGAGGAGAAGGGATTACAGTGTGACCATCCTCCTTGGGAGGTACTTCCTTACTTTCCTTTTCTGTCTTTCTCTCTCTCTGTCTCTCTGTGGTGAATACACACACCCTTTAGGAAGTCTTTTTTAATGAATTATTTATTTCATT